TTAAGAAAAAAGAATACTTTTTAAAAGATTTCATATATTCTATTAGGTATACTTTTAATAACCAATTATAGAAATGAAGGGAAAAACATAGGTAAATATACAATTGTTAAAATTTTTATTTTCAATTTTTTATATATATGAAAATTACACCGGTGATATTATAGTCAAATTAATTTATAATTCTAAACATACTATCTTAACTGTTATCATTAAACATGTAAACTATGTAATACGTAATAGAATAATAGTTTATTTTTTATCTCACAGTTAAAATTTATTTTATTTCTTTTATATTAAAAGAATTTTTTAATTTATTCATTATAAATTTTGAGTTAATATTATCTTTTAAAATAGTAATCTTTTTAATTGAGGACACTTTTAAATTATATTTAACTAATTTTTATATATCTTACAATTTTTAATATATACTATCTATACTTTCATATGTACATGTTGACATAGGTATTATTGTCATCATTGTTAACTTTTTCATTTTGGAATTTTTTCTTATAATAAGATATTGTAAGGCCAAATAACTTTTTAATAAGTTTTGTACTTATTTAGTTTGTATTATTGGATAGAAAAATACTTTATATGAATATCTTGGAAAAGAGGGAGAAATCCTACAAGAGTACTTTTGGATAAAATCAAATATCATACATTGATCGTTTACATGTTACCAATAAAAGGATGCAACGTAACATCTTATATAATTCATTATTCTCATTAACAAAAAACAATGTTTTTATTTAATAAAGAATAACATCTTTTTAATATATGAAATAGGGGATTTTATCATTAGGTAGATAGATTAATTTTTATATTATCTACTTATATCATTATTTTTTTTTTCTAATTTAAGTGTTGGAATGTCATTACAAATACTCATCTCACTTAAAAAAATTTCAAAACTTATAAGAGAAGAAAAAAAGAAAGTTCTCAACTTTAAACAAGGATTTTGTAACGTAGTTAGTAGACTGGAACAGGGCGTTCCTAGATTGGAACGGGCCGTTCCAAACTATTAAAACAAGGGTGATTTAGTAGCCCAGAACGGGCCGTTTTCAAACTAGAACGGGCCGTTCCAAGCTACTAAATAGGCCTATGAATCTTGGACTGGAACAGGTCGTTCCAAAATGGTCATTGTGAGTTAAATTCCACTCCAGAACGGGCCATTTCGATTTTAGAACAGGTCGTTCTAGAAGTGCCAGAACGGGCCGTTCTGGTTTCAGAATGGGCCGTTCTGCATGTGAATTTTACACATGATGAAGGAGCCCAGAACGGGCCGTTCTGGATTTGGAACGGGTCGTTCTGGCCAGTTCAAACTTCTATAAATAGAGGTTGTGGGCAGTTGAGAAAAATGGAGGTTTTTAGAGAAAAGTTTTAGAGAGAATGACTCTGGATTAGGAAGCTTTGGGTGGATTGAAGTCCCGTGTTGAGCTTCGGAAAGGGAATTTTGCTTCTTCTCTGTTCTTGGCTACTTTGAGCCAATCTTCAGGTGAGGGAAGCTAGAATGTAGGTTGTTTAATTTCAGGAGAGTTAGGGAAGCTTTATGCATGGTGTTCTTTTGTTGAAATAGTTGAGTTGTTGGGTGCTTAAGTTGATTTATGTTGTTTATATTGTGTAAGTTGACATGATAGATGAATTTTAAATATGTTGTATATTGCTGAAGTTGTTTATAAAGTTGTTAAGTTGTATTAAGTTAATATTGTAATGCATATAGTTATTTAATTAAGTTGTTTGCATGTTGTTAAAATTATTAAAGTTGCATAGTTGTATAATTGAATAAGAAGTTGTATAATTACATTGAGATGTATGATGAGTAAAAAGTGAAATGGAGAGATGCATGTTGAGTATAGAGTTGTATGTTGCTATAAAGTTGTATGTTGTGCCATGTGTTGAAAAGAGATTACCTTATGATGATTGAGTTGTAAATTATGAGTTGAGCTAATATTGTGTTGTTTAAAGTTGAAATGAGTTGTTGAGTTGTTTAGATGTGTTGTTAAACAATGTTGATTGAGATGATGAGTTGAAAAGTTGTATGTTGTTTAAGTTGTTAAGCTGATTAAGTTGTGATGATGAGTTGTTGATCACTAGGACTAGGGGAGATGTTTTCGAAGTTGCTCATCCCATTGTGTGGATTGAGATAGTTGTGGTGCTCTGAGAGTCCAAATTGTTGAAAAACCCTCCTTGGGAAGTTGTCCCTCAGAGTGGACGTTGTATTGTTCTCCTCTAGGCCTTAGCTGATCCCATGTGTGGGCAAGTCGAGGCACACGTGTACAAAGCGACCACGGTATAGGGGCCAGGCCGAACTATACCGATTACAAGCGGCCAGATGTTTATTGTTGTAAAGTTGTTATGGTGTCTATTGTTGTAAAGTTGAAAAGTTGGGGACATATGATGAAGATATATGTCCTATGTTGAGATACATAGTACTAAGGAGATAAGTTGAAAGTTGTTTTAAAGTTGAATTCCTTAGTACTGTGTGGGCAACATGGAAGTAGTCGATCCATGTCATGGTTGAATGACCAATTTGAGTAAGGTATCTAGTTAGAGATGTAGTCTTTGACTAGGTACTAGAGGGTGCGTGGTACTTGGAGGACAGTGGGTGGAGTAACTCCATATGTGGATTGGTGATGCTAGCCAAGGTCGTGGTAGGCTCATACCCAAACCCTTTTGTCCTGACAGTAGTACTGGACCTCCGAGTCTAAGTGACACACCTGAGCAATCGCCTATTGTTGTTTATACCTAGTTCTCTTCGAAGTTCCTAATACTGTTCTATACCTGACCTGGTTGAGATAGGTCAAGCGTTGGATTCGGTAAGGTTTATGCCACCTAAACTGCTCAACCTCAGTTATTGGAGATCTTCGAGTTGAAATGCGTGACGACGCATAAGTTGTTGACGAGTTGATTTGTTGTTAATAAAAGTGGTATCTATGTTGTTATGTTGTTAAGTTGTGATTGTGTTGTATGTTGATCCTGTTGAGGATGATGATAGTGTTGTTATGTTGTAAGCTGCTTTAAACATGTGTTGTTGAAAGATGTGTAATATATGTGTTATTTGTCTTCTGTGTCAGATGTGAAGATATCGATGATTATATAGTTGTTATGTTACATATTTGATATTTATGAGTTGTTTATTGTCTATAGCTTACCCTTGCATGTTTCCATGTGGTTTGAATTGCGATGATCATACGTTGTATGGGAGTAGGGCAGGGATAGACTAGGAGATAGCTACTAGAGGTCACAGGAGGTGCCTGGAAATGGATTTTTTTTTAGGCTACCTTATAGTAGCATACTTTGTTGTATATAATTAATTGTTGTTGGTTGCTTGATTAGCAACTTGTGTTGTAAATATTTTATTATATTATTTTAGTATATATATTTCAGTAGTGTGTAGTGTTGTTTCGTAGTGTAACGGTCACGGCAAGTCGTTACATATTTAAATAAATCCAATTATAATAAGTATACAATAAGTTATAACTTTATATTAAAGTATTGTTTGATTAATTATAAAAATAAAATAAAATTATAGCACTACATCCTCATAACATATCCCATCCCGATTAGATTAGCACTTCAAAAGTTGCAAATCATGTACGAACTGATAACAGGGTATTATTAATAGGTAAAAAAAACCCAAAAAAAAAAGTGACAAAAACATGGGAGAGTTAGACAAAATCCATGAAAACAAATCTTTAAACATTTACATCGTGAACATTTACATTAGTTATTTAATCAATATAAAATATATTTTTAACCGATGTAAAAGAATCATATACTAATATTAAAATTAAATCTTTAAATTCATACTTGATGAAAACTTTATTTACTAACCATACCATATTAATTTTTTGGTATACTGTTGAACTTTTTAGTTGCGTGAATGAAAGATTATCTTACGTGGGCTCTATATATATTCTTAGATTTCTAAGTGGGATTTAACTGTTTAAGGTTAATTATTCAGTTTCATAAACCAGTTGAAGGCATTATCATTGTCCAATATAGTATAATGCGCATATGAGCTGGACCAATCGTGTTTGGTATAATGCAAACACGTCAAGTCCCCAATTTAAGAATTTCATACATTATCTATAAACAAATGGCACCTTTTTGGTTCTATTGGCAGCTTCTAACCAATTGTTAAGAAGTCTTTCGAGAAAAAAGAAAAAAAAAACTAAACTAAACTAATTGTTAAGAAAAATTGAAGTCTGAATCCAAAAGTCAATTACCCACTCGAAGATCCTTCCTTGCAACTGGTTACCACAAAAGATCTCAAAAAAAGAATAATAGTCACAATACATGTAACTAAGGTTGTTGATAACCACCACATGAAACACGATTGATTCACACTTTCACAAAAGTCCTACAAAATTTGACATTTGTTGAGAAGAACACGCTACAAGTTATCTAGATGTCTTATTTTTTATTTTCAGCTAACAAAATTATATGTCTAGAGAATAAAATAATCAAACCACGTTTGAAAGAGGAACATGTTTAGTTAGTTAAGGATATAAAAAAATAATAGTATTTGACTCTTATAAAGTGAGTAGATAAATAACCAAGTGCAATCATTGTTGTTAAAATTATTAACTATCTATATTTTAACACAAATAATTTATATACATGTGTGTAATATTGATTATTAATTTTTCACAATAGTTGAGAATGTTAATTTATCTTTGAAAGAAAGTTGCTCACTTTAGAAAATTAGGATTCACATTTCATCGATATACGTTAATAAACTTTATAATAAAATTTATCAAAATATTTTTTAATTAATTTATTTCGATAAGCTTCGCAATATATTAATAGAAATAAATAATTTTCTTATTGAAAAGTTCATATTAAATATTTATCAATGTAATGAATAGAGTTTCTCATGTGTACTGGTAATTAATTAATGATGAATGAATAACATTTGTTAGCAATGAAATAGTGAAAAAAATGAATATAAAGGTGGTGGAGGTCACCACTTTTCCTTCCAGAGTAGAAGTATGATATTGGTGACAGAATAATGCATGCAATGATAAAACAGTTTGTAGGTATTTTTGTTTGATTTCATTTGATTAAGGGGCATGGTTGGTTGGTTGGACCAGACACAGAAGTGAGGTGTTGAACCTGTTTCCTATAATTAGGAAATCAACAACATAAAACATTAATTCATATCTATCTTATGATGCCATAGTTAGACTATTTCATCTTTCCCTCTAACACCCTTCTTTCTTGACAATTCCAAAACCACCACCTCGTGCCATTCATATCATCAAAACCATCAATTTGGCAAGAAGGAAACATTATTGATGTCATCATCAGAGAAAGAAGGCAAAGATGAATCGTCAACATGGATTCTTGAGACCATTGAGATTGATCCCATTGTGGAAAAGCCTAAAATGGAAGAGAATGAAACCCCTAATGAAAGCATGGTGCTAAAATCACAGAATGAAGCTTCTATGAACAACAATGTGAGGAGCAGGGTTAGCTTTCAGGGGAATGGGGGGAGCAAGATGATGAGGATGGAATCAGGAGCAGCCAGGGGGATTAAGGGTTTACGGTTTCTTGATAGAACGGTCACAGGGAAAGACGATGATGCATGGAGGTCCATTGAGAAACGTTTTGCTCAACATGCAGTTGATGGAAAACTCCCTAAAGGCAAATTTGGAGCATGCATGGGTACATTTGCCTCTTTTGTTTTAGATTAATGATGATGTACGATAAAAATTGTACAACATTATTTCTCAGTATATATCTCTCCATCATTTTGTTTATTATGGAGAGATAAATATATTTACTTATAATGAAGAGAGATAGGCACAAAATAATGTTGTACAATTTTTGTTCTAATTGTAACATTACTCTTTGTTTTATTGGGTTTGTAATGCATTTAGTTGTGTTGTGTCGTGTCATAATTAGTGGCAAGTTTGTATGATGCAAATTGTATTGTGTTTCACAGGCATGGGGGGAGACTCAAAGGATTTTGCTGGGGAGCTGTACGAGGCTTTGGCAAGGAGAAGGAAAATCTGTGCACAAAATGGGATAACTTTGGATGAAGCTAGAGTATTCTGGGAGGACATGACTAGCAAAGATCTTGAATCAAGGCTTCATGTGTTCTTTGACATGTAAAGAGCACACACACACACTCTATTGTATTTCTTTTGCATGTTGCATTCTTGTTGAATGGATTGGCATAAATGAATTCAGTTATTTTCAGGTGTGACAAAAATGGGGATGGTAGGTTATCAGAAGAGGAGGTTCAGGAGGTGAGTACTGAGACCACTTAAATTCTTGTGATTACCTTTTTTTTTTCCCTATTTCCCACTCTTCCATTATATAGAAACACAATTCTAAATGTCATTGTTTAAAAGGTTATAGTGTTGAGTGCCTCAGCAAATAAGCTAGGAAATCTCAAAGTGCACGCTTCTGGGTATGCAGCTTTGATAATGGAAGAGCTAGACCCTGATCATCAAGGATATATAGAGGTTAGAAGTGAACAAGTTTTTCATGTTTTCTTCTTTTATAGAGTTTTATGTAAATCTTCATCTTTTGTGTTCTTACTTTTCTGTTTAAGCAGATGTGGCAGCTAGAAACTCTGCTGAAGGAAATGGCTAGTGCAGAAGATGGCGCCAAAAGGCTTAATCTGAATAAAGCCATGACTTTGAGTAGAGCTATGATACCAAGCAAGTACAGAACCCCCATGAGCAAATTTATATCTAAAACCACAGAATTTATATTTGATAAATGGAAAAAAATATGGTTCATCGCACTTTGGTTGGTCATAAACTTGGTGCTTTATATTTGGAAGTTTAACCAATACAGGCAAAAAGATGCATTCGAAGTCATGGGTTACTGTGTCTGCTTCGCAAAGGGTGCTGCTGAGACTCTTAAGTTCAACATGGCTCTTATTGTCCTAACCATGTGTAGAAGAACACTTACAAAGGTTAGGGAATCCTTTCTAAGTAGGATCATCCCTTTTGATGACAACATAAAGTTTCACAAAACGATTGCAGTAGCTGTGGTTATAGGGACTTTTATACATGTAATTATGCATATCTCTTGTGATTTTCCAAGATTAATATCATGTCCAAAACATAAGTTCATGGCGATACTTGGGAATGGTTTTAACTATGAGCAACCTACTTACTACACCCTTGTTAAAAGTATTCCTGGTGTAACTGGAATTCTTATGGTCTTGATTATGGCCTTTACCTTCCTTCTAGCAACACATTATTTCAGAAAAAGTGTTATCAAGTTACCTTCCCCGTTGCATCGATTGGCTGGCTTCAACGCCTTTTGGTATGCACATCATTTGCTTATTGTGGTTTACATACTCCTCATCGTACATGGCTACTATTTGTTTCTCACCAAGGACTGGCACAAGAAAACGGTATGTGTAGCTCTAACATTTTTTATTTGTTCTAACTAACAACAAACTACACCTTCTGATTTTCCGAAAGTTTTCTCTTAATATGCTCATAACATTGTAACATTGAACTCTACCCACCTCTCTTTTGTTGATATTAGGTGTGTTTGAATAAACTTCTCCAAAAACACTTCTAAGAAAGAAAGAAAAATAGGAAGAAAAAATGAAATAAGTTTTTTTTTATAAGTTGAAATTAGCTTATACATGAGCTAATTTGTGAAAGTTTTTAATTCCTATTAGCTTCTCCCAAAAAAGAAAAAATCTAACTTATGCATAAGCTAGTTTTACCTTATAGAGAAACTTATTTCAAATTTTCTTTCTATTTTTTTTTTTCCTAAAAGTGCTCCTAGAGAAGTTTATCTAAAGGCTCCTTTGAGACTTGGTATTCTGACCTGATGGCTGATAATGCATGTCCAGTTCTACATCATAGAAACTTGATGGCCCACAATCTGAAAATGTTTATAAATCGATTGACAATATCTTTGTTAATGCAGACTTGGATGTACCTTGTAGTTCCACTAGTACTCTATGCGTCTGAGAGAATTCACCCATTTTTTAAGGGTAAAGATCACCGAGTAAGCATCATTAAGGTATGTATCAACAACTTCTCTATGATACTTCATGCTGAAGCATGGAAATGATTTCATCACTTGGAAATTTCAGGCAATAGTATATACAGGAAACGTCCTAGCACTATACATGACCAAACCCCCAGGATTCAAGTATAAAAGTGGAATGTATGTTTTTGTCAAGTGTCCAGACATATCTAGTTTTGAATGGTATTAACCAATTACTCTTGGCTTACAGTTATCAGAAGAAAATATTCGGATACTCAAATTGACCCTCTTGTTACAGGCATCCTTTCTCAATCACCTCTGCACCTGGAGATGAATACTTGAGTGTCCATGTACGAACCTTGGGAGATTGGACCACAGAGCTTAAAAACATATTTACACAGGTGATGTTAATGTTTGAACTGTGAACTCAAACCTATGTATTTAATTAGTCAAAGGGTCGTAGAAATATGATAGTTATTGAACATCTAGTTGTACTAATACTTGGATATGCAGGCTTGTGAGCCTCGGAGTTCACATCAAAGGGGAAGCCTTATGAGGATGGAAACTAGAGCATCAACTTCAGGCTATGACCATCCAACATCAGGGTGAATAGCAACTCTTTGTTCATGGCTTTCCAAAATGATCTATAAATGCTGATATTATTTGCTCTTTCCAGCGTTAGATATCCAAAGATCTTCATCAAAGGACCCTATGGAGCCCCAGCACAAAGCTATAAGAACTATGATGTCCTCTTGCTCATAGGCCTCGGCATCGGTGCCACGCCAATGATCAGTATTATAAAAGATATCTTGAACAACATGAAGGCAGAAAGCCCTAATGAAGTAAGTGACAAGGTCATATACTTGATAAGAATGTTGGTGACACTTTTTAACATTCTTTATTATTGGTTGAAATTTATTAGAAATCACAAGCGTAATAGGTTCCGTATCTCATTTAATGGACCTCTCTTAATTTAGTAATAAAACTTATCAAAATTTGTGATTTTTAACCAATAATAGAAAGAGTATTAACAAGAGACTGGTAGAAAGAATATTGTTAGTATTTCTCATACTTTTTTGGTGGGCAACATATTTTGTATTTTATAGTAAGTTCCAATTAACTTAACAGGGAAACTCTACACCGGACTCCTTCCATAGCAATCACTCTGATGAAAACAGGAAAGGTCCTGAAAGAGCATATTTTTATTGGGTGACAAGGGAGCAATCTTCATTTGAATGGTTCAAAGGTGTCATGGATGATATTGCAGAATATGACCGTGATGTGAGATTGAGGACTGAACTCGTCATCTTTTCCTGGTTTTGTTCCCTCCATGTACATAATATTTCATGGTTTAGTAAATGTTTAGCATGTTTAAATGATGCAGGGAATTATAGAAATGCACAACTATCTGACTAGTGTCTATGAGGAAGGTGATGCAAGGTCCGCACTTATTGCCATGATTCAGAAGCTGCAACATGCTAAAAATGGAGTTGATGTAGTCTCAGAAAGCCGGGTATTGGTTAATTTACTACTTGTTTAGAGTTGATAAGTTTCCACGTAAACACTTCCAAAATATAAAAATAAGAAGAAAAATCAAAATGAATTTTATTATAAACTAAAATTAATTTATGCACGAGTTGAAAATACAATTTCGATGAAGTGAATAAAGAAAACTTCTACAGATTAGCTTATACATAAGTTAATTTTATCTTATGAACAATGTTGTTTCCTTTTTCTTATCTATTTTTCACTCTTAGAAATGCTTTCGGAAAAGTTTACTCAACCAGGCCTATAACCTTTTCATCATTCTACCAAATGTTAAGCTTTTGATGTTACCATATGTCAGATACGAACACATTTTGCAAGACCAAACTGGAAAAAAGTCTTCTCTCAATTAGCAAATGCACATCAAAGTTCTCGGATAGGTAAACAAAATTGTGATGCTTTTTGAAATTCTAAAAGTTAACAAAAAAGAAACAATGGAAAAAAATTTGTCTGCTATGTTCTTGTTACAGGTGTATTCTACTGTGGAAGTCCTACTCTTACAAAAGTATTGAAGAACCTTTGTCAAGAGTTCAGCCTAAACTCATCTACCCGCTTTCAGTTTCACAAGGAGAACTTCTAAAGGAGAAATTCACACAGTATCAGTCATGAATTTGCAACCTGGCTTCATCAAACAATAGAAGACTATAGAATCTATAGTGAGTTTGGATTAAAAGTTTTGTAAGTTTATTGTATGTAAGTAGATGTAATATCAGAGTTGTGTTGGTTTTGCTTAGATCTTTATAGTGTTATTTATCCCTTTTTTTTTTCTTTAACCTTTGTATTCATCCTCTCTTAGTCTCATGAAAAATTTCCATATGTTCAAAATTTAATGTTCATCAATCTACCAGTGTAAATGAAATATGAAATCTGTTAACATCTCAACACCATGCCCAAATCTTTGAATCCCCTTCTCATAGCCTTATCCCGTTTTTGGATGCAGATGCTGGTTGGGTTTCTTCAAAATTATTAGATCAAGTTAAATAATAGATTATTATACTATTTAAGTTTTTATTCTACATATTATCTTCTTTATAAAATTTTGTTTGTTTTATTTTAATAAACTTAAAGGTTTTTTATTCTTCAATAATTTCAAACAGCATGACTTTGCATGTCTCATTAGTCTTTAGATTATGATGAAGAATTTTGACAGTAAACATGACCAAAGACATGTAAATAGCACTAGATAAGAAAGATATAGTTAGAGATCACAAAGGCATTTTCATCACAGCTTATTTAGCCATTTTTCATGGCCTCAACATGTTTATCGTGAAGCCAATATTAAAGACACGATAAATCGTACAAATAATAATAAATAAATAAAAGTGAAAAGAGTTTCGAATTCACAAGGATTGTGATTAACAATGACTAAACCAATCAATTGCTATTTTGATTTAAGAATAACGAAAGAATTAGTTTTTTATTTTTTTATTCAGTTGGAAAAAAGAATGCAATTAAAAAGTATTACAAAATTCAATTAACAATAACAAATAGATATTAAAAACCTAATAATGAGAACTGTAATAGATACATTATTTAAGTTTTCACTATTAATGTCGTCATTGCAATCTTTTTTATTAATAAAAAAAAACTCCAACAAGGTAATATCTTTTCCTTCTACATTTCTTCTAATTATGTGCTTAACATTCAATTTCTCTTTTATTCTCAATACCTTAGAAGATAAGTTTTATTCCTAATCATGAACCCTAATCCATGAGCATAGCATTTCACGTATTATAGCAATAACCTTTAACAAAGTTTCTCTTTTTCCACTATATGCTTAAAGCATGTCTCAGAACGAAATATCCCTCCAAGTTTATTGGTAACAAAAGCAAAGTTTAACAAGCACTTGCAAAATAATAAAACAACAACAAAAAAACACTATGGTATACATACTCTCAAATAGAGAGAAATGTATCTCACCAATTATTTCTATTTAGCAGAATTGACATTTTACTCAGTTTCCATTCAGATTTTGAACTAGGCAGTCAATTAACAATCAACTAATATTTTTCAATACATAGTATTCAACTTATCATTAAGTTAGTAATTAGTAATACAAACTGGAGAAACTGAGGGGTTTCAGTTTCAAACAACAGAAAGGTAAAAAGCACAGAAAATCATCCTAAGAAATCCCTTTTTGGCAACTGATATTATATATTTTTTCTTATAACCATGGTATTGGTTCAATAATTGATGTCCAATCAGTCGCCACTTGCACAACCCCTGCAACCACAATGAACACACTCTATAACCTTCTCCTCCCTAAGTTGCTTGGGAACTCTGCAAACACAAGTGGTGCCAAAATTGTGGTTGCGTGGCTGCATGCACCCCAAGCAACATAGACGTTCATAACCAGGCTGCAATTCAAACCAAAAACATCGTGATTTTAGTACTTAAAGTTAAATCCAAGACAGCACATGGAATGCACAAATGACACAAAACAAATATCAATGTACTTTAAACATGCTATGTATTTTAACAGTTCTGAGAAATGAAGTCTTGCGAGCAGTACTAATAACAACAATCAATACTCAGTAAGTTGATTAACCAAAGTCAACAAGGTATTGTTAATGTTCTTAACAGTTTTTGCTAGCCAATAGTAATTACCTTGTAACAATTAACATCCTGGAAAAAGCATAAATTACAGCATTTCCAAGTCCACATCAGACTGACAATTGTGTTGAAAATCTTGAATAGCGACATGGAATGTCCGAAGCAAAAGCAGTAAAGCACTACAGCAGGATGGCTGCTATACTGAAGATTTTGCATGCAAGATAAATAATTTATACTATTCACATACATACTCAAAAAAAACACCCAAAAATTATAGACACTCATCATTAATATTGGTTATACTCTCTAGACAAGTACGCACTCACCATAAGTCTATGGCATAATTAACAAGTCAATAAAAACAAAAGTCAAGGAGCATAAGCCTGCAAAGAGCAATGGAAGAAACTGAGGAATAACGCCACGGGCTGTGAAGTGCATAGTGAAAGTACACCACATACCACAACTTTTAAAATAAATAAAAAAGAAAAAAGTTGAGCATATACATTAGGACAATTTCTTTAAAAAGACAATGTGTGATTTACGCCAAATAGAAGTCAAATCAAACACTTCGTAATTGGTAGCTAGATGATTTCTTATCCTCCTTCTAGTTGTACTTCTCTTTTTTCTTCATTGAAATTTCTTCTCTTATGAAAATGAAATAGAAAAAACAAAAGCAGTTTCAACAATAGAATAATATCTCAATTTAGGTACCTTCTTCCATTTTGCAATTAAATTCCGATCAGCATATCCTTGATCTAAGCAGAATTCATACAATTCTTTAGAAATTTCCTTCCTCTGATGGTAGATGTCAAATATATAGCGGCTCTTCTGGTGTGCAATCTTAAATATAGGCCATAAAGTCTCACATTTTCTCTTGCCATCATGTGGATCATTCTCAGCTGTCACATAAAGGATGTAAAACAATTACGTACATAGGTTTCAAAATAAATCTAATAAAATCTAGTAAGGGAAGCATCACATATAAAATTCCAACCTTCCCTCATCTTTGCTTGAAGTTCACGGAGAGTAGGCTCAATTAATTCCCAGCCCTCTGGGTATGTAACACGGTTTGTCTTTACTTTTGGCATTTTGTATCTGTTAAAGGAAAATATGAGGTCTAAGGATCAATTTCTACACATTCTACTAGCATTGGAAAAGAAAGAACAAGAATTATAAATTAAATAGATAAAAAAAAGGTTAAAAAAAATAAGAAATTGAAACTAGTTGTCATACAAGAGAGCAAATAGAGATATAAACACAAACTCCCAGTAAAAACAAATAAACTGTACTCAGAAATACAAGCATGCCTAGACCTAGAGAAGAACTGAAAATAGAAACTGATTATCAATGCCAAGTAAGATACTGCACAGCTTCAAAGCCTCTCAATTGCTAGGTTGATATTGAGAAGTGACCAATTCTCGCAAAACTAGAATTGGTAAAATAGGTCAATCCATCTCGACCTGCCCCGCCTTCAACCCACCAAAAACAAGGCATGTTGTTGCATTTGAAAAACAAGCTGAAAGTAACAAGCCACCCTGCATTAGGGAGGGTTGGGATTCCTCTAAAAAAAAATTTAACAGAAAGAAAAAAACGAAAATTAAATTATCTCCTAAACATTTAACAATAATCAAATCAAAATGCTACAACTTCCCAAAATAGTCGTTAACCAAGATACTCTAAACAAAGCAAAAGCAATAAAAACACAACTAAACAAGCATTAAACAAGATAATCTACCCAAATGTGAATTTCACTTAGTCGTTTAACAGAGGCCATGGAAAGGTCTGCAAAGAAATTCCATGACAAGAGTTGATACAATGAAGAGATGTCATTCAATATACATGATCTAAACACAAATCAGTGCAACCCCAAAAGGTCAGAATAGATGGGCAGACTATAAGTACAAAGGAAAAATGTAAGAACCGAACATAAACTCGAAACACAACCATTACTCAAGCAAGCACTACCACATTCCACTTTTTGACATTAACAGTTTACGCCCCCTCTACTTAAAAAAATTAAAATTAAAAATTAAAAAAAAAAAAAAAAAAAAAAAAAAAAAAAAGCAGAGACTAGCATAACGCAGTAAACAATCTTTAAGCACTAAACCCAAATCATTCCCAAAATTAAAATGTCTTCAAATTCTACTGCAATCAGCCTCACCAAGTGCAAAAATGATATTGTGCCCAAAAAAATTGATAAAAAGAAAAAAAATGAAACTTGGTGAAAGGACAAGGGTTAGGGTTAGGGTGGCATACCTCAGATATGGGTTAACACCGGGTGAGAAGGCAAACAAATCCAATTAGACGAAGATGTACATGTTACCTAATTCAGACATAATGTTGCATATTTTTATTTTTATTTTCTCAATTTTATCTTCTAGAATTAATATTAGAATGAGACATACATTAGCTTCGACTTTCAAACAAAGAAAGTGAAATTGAAAAGATGGAAAGCCAGAAGAAAAAGAATACATTGGAAAGAAATCTAACCCTAAGTTTGAAATTGTTTTTACTTTTAAAATTTAAATATATAAAAAAAATTGTTTTATAAGAGTAATTTTAAATTACTTCTAGAATTAATATTTTAAATTAAAAAAGAATAGAACATGTTCATGCCATTGGTGTTATGCTCTCTAGATTAGGGGTACAATCATGGATGAATAAATATCGGAAAAATCAATAATAGTACAATCAATTATTAATATCAAATCAAAGTATTCATATTTTAGTATATTTTAAAATGTATATATTATATCAACTTTATTTTATGAGAATGAAATATCAAATCATTTTGGATTAATATAAAATTTTGTATATATGATCTAAGAGTAAAGAATTTTCAATATAACGGTTGGATTTAGATGGAGGTTATAATAACATCGGTGTAACGTGTAACTTTTACTAAGTATTACACTATGAAGGTTATAATAACACCGGTGTAACTTTTACTAAGTATTATACTATTTAATAATTTTATATTAAATTTGAATTTTGTAAATTTAATTGTTAGATTGGAAATTCATATCATTTTATATGTTTATATTAAATTTTGTTAAAATTGAACAACAACTTAAAGGTAATCAAAGTATTCATATTTTAGTATATTTTAAAATGTATATATTATATCAACTTTATTTTATGAGAATGAAATATCAAATCATTTTGGATTAATATAAAATTTTGTATATATGATCTAAGAGTAAAGAATTTTCAATATAACGGTTGGATTTAGATGGAGGTTATAATAACATCGGTGTAACGTGTAACTTTTACTAAGTATTACACTATGAAGGTTATAATAACACCGGTGTAACTTTTACTAAGTATTACACCGTTTAATCATTTTATATTAAATGTGAACTTTCAATCTAACGGTTGAATTTACAAAATTCACATTCAATATAAAGTTATTGAGCAGTGTAATACTTAGTAAAAATTATACCGGTGTTATATATATGAGGAGGGTTCAAACGATGTCAATGTAACATTTACTAAGTATTACACTGTTTAATAACTTTATATTAAATATGAATTTTATAAATTCAACCATTAAATTGAAAGTTCTTGACTCTTAGATCATATATACAAAATTTTATTTAATCCATGATGATTTGATACTCCATTCTTATAAAATAAAATTGATGTAATATATTCATTTCAAAATATACTAAAATATGAACATTTTGATTACCTTGAAGTTGTTTAATTTTAACAAAATTTGATATAATAATACAAGTTGATATGAAATTACAATTCAACGGTTGGATTTACAAAATTCGCATTTAATATAAAGTTATTGAGCGGTGTAACACTTAGTAAAAGTTACACCGGAACTTCATTTTTATAAAACAAAATTGACGTAATATATTCATTCCAAAATACACTAAAATATGAACACTTTCATTACCTTCAAGTTGTTGTTCAATTTTAACAAAATTTGATATACATATATATATATATATATATATGAGGGGGGTTATAATTACACTGGTGTATCTTTTACTAAGTGTTATATCGCTCAACAACTTTATATTAAATACGAATTTTGTAAATCTTATCGTTAGATTGAAAGTTCCTTACTTTTAAATCATATATACAAAATTTTATATTAATCTAAGATGATTTGATACTTTATTTTTATAAAATAAAATTGACGTAATATATTCATTTTAAGATATAATAAAATATGAACACTTTGATTACCTTCAAGTTGTTATTCAATTTTAACAAAATTTGATATACACATATAAAGTGATATGAGCTTTCAATCTAACGGTTGAATTTACAAAATTCGCATTTAATATAAAGTTATTGAGCAGTGTATCACTTAGTAAAAGTTACACCAGTATTATTATAACCCCTCATATATATATATATATATATATAGGAAATTTAAATTCTGTTTTTGGATTTTCATTTCAATTTGGGTGTAATATTTTTAATTCCGGAACAATTTTAATACTTTAAATCTGCTGAACAATTTAATTTCTGATGGAATTTGAAGTTTGAATTGCTGATATATTGGTTTGGATGGTGTGACAAATTCTGATTTGGTTGGTTGATGCTATGATGCTCTGTTTTTGAGCATGATGATGTTCTGTTTTTTTTTCTTGAGCATTGATATTTTGATATTTGATATTTGGTGAGCTAAATTGATAATGTTTTTGGATTTTGAAATTCTGAATTATGGATTATAACTTGTAATTTTGGCTGACCAATTCATGCTTGAGTTGCTGATCTAAATTGATATTTGATTCTGACTTGGATATTATAGTTCAAAGTTCACAAAGTTTGGTTGTTGATCAATACCTATGATATTTAAACCAGTTTTGGTATTGTTCTGAGCATATAAGGTGTGTGCATATGGCTTATATTGTGTGTTGTGAACAAACATAGCTTGATTTGTTTTTGATGATGCCCAAAGGGGGAGAAAGGTTGTGTGTGTGTGCTTTGCAGGTTTT